AAAATAACCCACAAAAGAACCCAGGAACCCACAAATAACCCATGAAAGAACTCACAAATAACCCACAAATTTGCACTCATCTGGGTTGATGGAGAACCAAGGATGTTAAGTATTTAAGTCATTAACGTTATTTAATCACTGTTTTTAATCTTTGGGAGAAGGCCCAGCAGCAGGTTTGTGGGTTTTTTGTGGGTTATTCATGGGTTATTTTGTGGGTTATTTGTGGGTTAACCCAGGAACCCACGTTTTAAAACATGGGTTATTTTTTGTGAAAAATAACCCACGTTTTTCGTGGGTTATTTTATTTTTAAAAAAAACACAAAATCATACCCCCGATATTAGATTTCAAAGGGGGGACGCGCGCGTGTTGGTTCCTGAGGGCCCAGATGGAATCGGATATTTTCTTCCTGATGCTGAAAAATGCGCGTTGCACACCCCTCTAAATTTATGACCCATGCTTGTACTTGGGTACTCGTACAGTTTTTCATTGTACGACTAGTAATTTCTTTCATTGGTCACAAAGAAGCACACCCCTTTAATTATGACCCCTATCCTTTTATTCGTGACGAAGAAAATTTAATATTATCCCCAGATACTTTCAATAGTCGTACGATACCACTACACTGGACGTACGTACTGTACAGTACTGTATTTCCAAACTGGGTTCGCTCTGTCTGAATATGACTTTAATGGTCATTACTACTATCGGACCTGATTTTGTACCATTCATRAAGCATTTTTATGCGCGACGGATTTATTGCTTCGTCATACGTCCATATTGCTTGACATCACCACAACGAAGTACCGGTACTTCTAGTACGGTACTCGTACTTCTCCGAAATACCGGTACAGAACGAAATACTTGTACTTTCGACTACAAACCGTACGGTAGGAACAAGACTTGTTTGGTAGACTGACACAACCCTACCGGTACCATACTACATTTTTGAAACAACCACAAATACTTGCTCTGTACTGCGAGTTCCTGTCTTCCGATAATAATCATTTGCAACCCCCTGATCAAGACATCTCACACCACAATCAAAAGGACAACGACGATAGCTACGACAGAAAACTAACATTCCGGTCAGACAATATGAAGACACAAGCTTTCATCTTGCTTAGTATCATTGTGCTCCCCAAAACGTCGCTTGCATGCCAAGTGATTTTGAACGGGGAAGATAAAACCAGTGACTTTTTCGTGATCGAMAGTGCTGATGACGACGCTTATGTTGATTGTGGTGACCATTCTAAGTGTCGGGGTGCCGTGATTTCGGATTGTCCCGTAATTAAGTGTTTAGGCAGCGAATCTTGTACTGACGCTGAAATTTCGAACTTCACAGACTCTGTTGTTTGTGAGGGAGTTCACGCATGCCACAGAACCGAGATGACTGCCGCTGCTTCGGGAGCAACAATTCATCATGAGCAGACCGTCACGTGTATAGGATCCGGAGCGTGTGACGTRGCACACATTGTGGGAAATAGTGTGGACCGAGTGTCATGCAATGGTTCGAAAGCCTGCCGAAAAGTTCGTATAGAGGGACCAAAACTTGTAAAGTGTCAGAATGGGCGTGATGGCGCTCTCGCTTGTGACGGTTTTGCCACGTTAGAAACCAAATGTGTCTACTGCGGTGCGAAAGGCTGCTCCGACCACATTAACACGTGCAGATACAAAATTATTGATGATATTGAGAGCGACAGCAACACCAGCTATAAAAAGTGCGTACCAGAACAGGTAGTAGGAAATTGCTCCGATGAATTGAAGACGGAACTTCAACTTGAATTGACCGGGAAAGAAGAAATCGACACGGATCGAGTCGGAGGTGGGTCTAGGAAAAGTAGAAGGCTCGGGGCGAGCCATGGCAACCGTGTCTACTAGTTGTTCATGTTTTCTGGAAAAAAATTTCATCGGTTTCACCAACTCGCAGCGATTGCTGTGCGCGAAACATCGGATGCAAAAACTTGGGACTAGTAGATTAAGAACGAACAATTTTTTTTCATCTATGGCAAATGCCGGTGATTGCTCCTGTTACGCTTCTGCCAGAGCCCGAGCTTGAGGTCCATTACACTTGATAACATCACGTAATATAGATTATGCTACTATCATAAAGTTGGAAATGAAGTATACGAATTTAGATGTGCTTTTTTTTGGCCATCCGTTCTCCTGCAAAAYCTTCGTGACCGAGAAAATGTTCATCTAAAGTTTTTGTCACAATGATTTTATTCTTCCAATACTRCTGTACCTCTGTTTCTACACAAGCTTGGTTAGTACCACATTGTGGGCACGAGCATTCAACAAGCAACACCAGCAATGTCAATGTCAACATGACCAAGAGCTCCTGGTGCTGCAGCCTCCAGAATAATAGAAGAACCAGGAGGAAGATCAGCTCTTAGAAACAGGAGCAATTGAACTACTAGTAGTAGCTTGTAGTACTAGTACTATTTCAAACTGAGAGATCTGGAACATAATAACTCCTCTGATGCAGAAGGAAGGTGGTTGTTTGGGGCTGATGCTAGAGGATGAGACCCAGCCTCATTAATAACACAATCCTCAGATAATTCCAAGGCACTAGTACTACTAGTAGTAGTTGGTTGGTAGTAGAGGAAGGAATCCAGACTTGAGAGAAAGAACTATTGTTCTTGGAGTAGAAAGAGTGGATAGGAACCTCCATTGTTGTAGTACTACTTGTTGTAACAAAACTTTTCCACTAATAATCCAAGAAAGCCTATGATCAGTCCACCAGGTGTTGAATACCATAGACAACTACTACGAAGTACTACTAGTAGTAGATGAAAGAGAGGAGGGGGGATCCTCTGCTTGCACAGAATGACATTGACAATCTGGGGAGCCAAAATTCATATTTCTTTTGACCTAAATTCAAAGTCCACCACTGGTAGAAAGTAGTACCAGGGACACTGAAGTGCTAACCAATTGGCATACTATGTTTGTCGCTTTGCCCAATTAGAAGAATCTAAGTCTTGGTTTGGCTCCAGCCAGGGTTTCACACAATGGCTGGTGCTGGTAGGATATTCCATACTGAGTAGTGGAATGTTACTAGCTGCCACCACCATGTTGGCTGGTCCAGCTTGTTGTTGCTTTTTGGGAAAGTTTGCTGCTAGTAGTAGGAAGAAATTCTGGAAGCTTGGTA